TTTGTTTTTTTAATTTACAAATTGGGAGATTCTAGATTCATGGACCAGTTTGTGTTGTGCATTTTTAAAGAAGTTTCCGATATTTTGTAATTAAAAAAAAAGAGGAACAGAAACAAAAAATATTAAAAGTACACCCTTTCATTTTCAGAGTCTAAGCTGTGCCAGGTATTTTCARACATTTCATATTTTAATTGGCTTCCCAGGAAGACACCTTACAGTCTACAAGTCACATTCACTTAATCTTATATTGATTTTCTAAGAAACATCCTGTTTCTATGACTACACCAATCAATTAGCTGCTCATAAATAGCCAGACAATTTTCTCTTTTCTCTCCAATGAAGCCTGAAGAGTTTCTTCCCACAAGAATATCTAATGTCGCCCCTTGCCCATAAAGAAATGGCATTATATTATATTAAAGATGGTTGATGTTTTTCATATTTTGAAAATATTTGGAGATTCTGCACAGAGAAAACATACAAAATTGCCTTGGACCAAAATGTTGAATAGCTTATCAATCTKCAGTTGTTTTTATAAAAGGTCTCTATGGTTACCAGCAAAAAAAAATGGCCTTCCCTTCACCTTCATGCTCGATCCCAGAGAACGGGAAGGCTGGTGATCACTCAAGGAGTCTGCTCACTGGGAAAAAGACAATGGTTCTGCTACTCGGTGTGAACAAAGTGCAAAGCCACAGGCTAGTCATGTGTTAACTTCTTTAGTTAACACTGCACTATCTATTCCAATAAGGAAATTCCGTTCACATTAATGTGTGAGGATTTGAGATAAATATGCATGTTCTTTTTCTTAGGAATATACTAGGAATCAACAGAAGCAGCATGATTAACRAATGATATTGGTCTCTGGAGTCAAAAAACCTAGACCTGAGTATTAATATCAGCTGAGAAAATTTGGCAACGCATCTTAAACTCTCTGTGGTTCCATTTYCTGTCTTATAAAATGGGATTGAGTTAAAATGAGTTAATTATTTAACTCAAGGCTATTTGGGGGATTCTCTAGATCTAATSTATCCTTACTTCAATCAAAGTCCATTCTTCTATACAAAATATTTTTCCATAGCAAAAAAGAGATCAGAACATTTTCCTTTCCCAAACCTCCCTATGTGTGGAGAGCACAAGCCAAACTACATAAAGCATTCAGTCGTCCATCCCATGCAACTGGTTCCCAGACTGCTTTTTCAGGGTCATTTCTGGTTAATTCTCAATTCATGCCTTATCCTAGCCACATCAAAACAGATTCGTTATGCACTTCSAACCACATTCTGCATTTGTCCAATGTATTTTCCCAAATTCTCCCTACCTAAAGTACCCTCTATCCTTGTCTCCTTAGAAAACTTTTGCTCAATTCTTAATTCCAAGGACACCTCCCCAACCACCACCTTTCTAGTTGAGTTAAGAGCTTCTCTCCCATAAAGCAAACATTAAATTTCAACAGGTAAAATAATATTGTTCTTTCTTTCAGTTTCCAATATGAAAACATATGTTATTTGGCATCTAGCATGAAAATATCTACATGTTATTTAAACACAGAGAAGTCACAGGGAAAAATTACATCAAAAGAAAAAATATTATTTAGATTCCGAAAATCAATCAATAATAATTCATCACTGAATTGTTAGATAAGAAGCACATATCCAGATAAATAYGCCACCTGAAAAATGAGCTAAACCACATTGACTTCAATCACCTGTTAAGTGCAAGATATATCATTTCCAATATTATAACACTTAAATTTTTAGATGACTAAACATACACATTCAAACCAATTAAGTAATTTGTAAAACTACTTGATATGTGTCAGGGTGCCATCCAAATTCAGATGTGTCTGACTCCTCAGTGCATTCCACTATTCCATATTCTCTCTCACTTGACCTTGCCCTTTGGTCACATGTGGACCTGCAGTAATGGTCCAAGTATCCTTATACAGGGTCTCAGGTGCTATCTTTAGCTAGGCCACTCAAAATACTCTTTGACTGAGGTTTGAAAAGGAGATTGGTGCATTGTTAGATTGTATASTCAACTCAAAAGGAAGTCAGAATCTCTTCAAAACAGTAACATCTTATTAATAAAATTAATCATTAAAATAACTGCTCTGATGCTAGATCTACTTGTAGCCTTTCTTACTTTTGTTTCAACTCTCTAAAATATGTTTTATGTTTACCTATATAAAAATAACATTATGGAAGAATTATGATATAACATTAATCCTTTCTAAATTGCCTTGAATTAAGACATTTACTATTTTTATTTTATTGAAAGACATTTACTATTTTTGTGGTGTTGGTGGTCTTGGTGATAGTAGCTGTTAAGCAAAATAAAATTGTATATTTATCTTTAATTATTTTTTGATGAAGATTCCTTGAAAACTTCTTATTAATGTCCTGGATGAAACATCCAGCTACATACAATATTTCTCACATAGAAAATGCGAAATGAAATAGGGACTTGATTTTTAAAGCTTGACAATGTTAATTCAGTATGAGACTATGTATGGGATCATACATGTCATAATGGAATATTTTGAGCAATCCTACAATTTAGGATTCAGAATTACCATTGTTTTTAGGAATAGTTACATAGGCATGAACACAGGCATAGATATACAGTATTAGACAATCAATTTGAACTGTAGAAAATTTCAGTTAAAAGGTCAGTAACATATAAAATTTATTTCCTGGGAAAGCTCCCTTTTTAAGTTGCCTCTGGACTGGTGATCAAGAGGAATTAGACCTGTTCATTCACTCCACTCTGGAAGAAAGGAAAAGAAGACTAAAATATTTACAGGGAATAGAGAGAAGGCAGGTCCCTAGGTGCAGCAGAGGTCCACACAGGAAGAGTATCATTTCTCTCCCTACATACAAGCACTGAGGTTTAATCTGACTGCAGCTTCTCCTGTGCTCACACTTAAAGCAACCCTGACAGTGGCCCTGGCTAATGAGAAGTTCCCAAGCATCTCTGAGTCATCAATTTGTTCTTCAGCAATGACGTATCACACACTATTAAGTAAGTCTATAAGTGGGCAAGTTGCAAAATAGCAGAATATTAGATCTATCTTTGAGGTGCTTTTAAAACCTTCTTGGGTATAATGAGTTCTTCAGTCTGTCTCACAGCTGAAGGAGAGGCTGCTCCTAATGCAAACATAGGTTAAATAAGGATAACAATTAGGCAGGTTACCAAACATGTTAAGTTACTGTTAGTTTCTCATTCCTGTGACCAAAATACCTGCTATAAACAACTTAGAGGAGGAAAATYTTATTTTGGCTCAGGGTTTCAGAGATTTCAGCACATGGTTAGCCAGCCACCTCCATTGCTTCAGTCCTGAGTTGGGAGAGAACATCATGRCAGAAGGGCATGGTTGAGGAAAGCTGCGCAGCTCATGGCAGTCCAAAAGCAAAGAGAGGGAGACAGAGGTGTCAGGGGCAACAGACCCTTCCAGAACATAGCCCCAGTGACCTACTTTATCTATCTGGGTTCCACCTCCTTTAGTTTCTCCACCTCTCAGTAGTTCATTCAGCTCTCAATGAATGAGGTCAGAGCCCTCACAGTCCAGTCGTCTCCCCAAAGGCCTACCTCTGAACATTGCTGTATAGGGGACCAAGCCTTCAACACAAGAGCATTTGGGGGACATTTCARATACAAACTATAACGAATAACACAGCTGATGAGAACCAATTTCTTTTACAAACTGAAGAACAATTTTTTCATTACTGACAAATAGCAGAATTAGGTCTCATTCTACATGACATACATATTGCCAAACATGCTTTATTCTGCGCCCTCTCTCAGCCTTTGTTAACTGTCTCTGTGGAGTTTTTTAAAAAAGGTGTTTTTTAAGATAAGAAAGGGGAAAGGCAGACTCACCAAGAGCCAGTCAGGAAACTTGCAGTGGGAAAAACTTACGTTGAAAAGAAAGATCAGTGTGTCTTATTCAGTCTGGAGGCAGAACTCAAACTGTGAATTCAATTTGGTTAAGATGTCCTGCMGCCTACAGCAGTGGCCCATTGTTAGGGGTTCAGCAGTCATCAATTTATGTGCCAGAGACACAGTCAGAAATTACTATGGAGTGAAGATCTGGATTATTTGGACTTATTCAACACAAAAAATRCCTAATACTTTGACATGATGAATAATGCATATATAATTCATTAATTTGAAATAAGAGATAGTATCAGTGATGAAAATTAGAAGAAATAACTGTTAACTCACAAATTTCAAGAATGAGTTAAAAATAAAGAGAATAAACATGGAATAATACCACTCAAGTGAACTTGCAAATCTTTCTAGAAGCTTAAAATCAATTCCATAAATATTATACACAAAGTAGCATATAGTAGAGATTGAGCCAAATGACATCCTAAAAGTCAAAAACTTGACAACAGCAAGATTATGACAGTAAATTATGATCCACTTCCTTTTTTATTATCTCCAAGTCAATAATCATTCCCTAGAAAATGCACCATAATAATATATTCCATGTAAAAACTCCTCCCACCTAAAAAAGGAAAAAAATAGGTCTAAAGAAATAATTCAAAATGATAATTTGTGTGCTTGTGAAACAAAATCAACAAAAATAATGTTGACCAACTTTAGGCAACATGAAGATGATGCGGACCCTTCCCTGATTCATTAGATTATATGGAGTAATAAAAGATGCATTTASTTAATTAACCAATAAACACAGAAAAAGAAAAAGAAATAAAAACCAAGTCCCACTATCTAATAATTCAAATTAAAAAAGTTACATGTCTTGATTATCGAGATAAAAATCTCAGTCCCTCACCTATATGTTTAGACATAATGAAGGCTTCTAAAAGGCTAGCATCCTTCCACTCATCTTTTAAAATCCTTTTGTTCATTAAAATATTTGTACTAAAAAAATCTATGCTTTTTGTTTTTATTATTCTGTAAGCTATTTTGCATTTGAAGTCATTGGATAAGAGAAGTCAAACATGGGAGAGTAAGGAACAGTAACTGGCATCTCCTACCTGAAGACCTTCAATAGCTAATCGCAGCATGCTTGGCGTAAGTTTAGAGGCTTGCTTGAAGGTGAAGTTACTCCAGTCTATGATCAAAACAAACCCATTGACTTGAAGCTCAGGATCTTCAATCATGGCTTCTAAAGAAAGTAAGATGGCACGCAGAATATCCACCAGTGTGTACCTATCAGTAACAGAAAAGTACTCAATTAGATCTGACAACTCTTGTAGAATCTGTGGAAAGCTTTTTTTAGCACACTAAAGAGTTCCTTTAAAATACCTCAAAAAAATCTCAAGGAAATTATTTTGCCTAAAAAGCTTCTTTTAAGAAGTTTACTTTATATAGGCTCTGGGGACATATTAGTATTTAACATATATTCTATTTAAACAAGTAGCAATGATTTTGAAAATATTACAGTTTTTTTCATACTTTGTAGTCATGTAATTTGCAGCTAGGCCTTCCTATGAGTTTCTAATATCTCATTTCAGCTGTCCCCAAAAGTAGGCATCATAGATTGGAACAGCATAAGAATGCTGTGATGCTGTGGGTAATTCTTACACTTCTTATATATCAGCCCTCCATATTCTAGGGATCCACAACTCTAGATTCTGTGTGTTGAGGATAGAATTTGGAAAAAAAAAAAAAAAAGACAGACACTATGTCTGTACTGAACTCATACTGACTTTCTTAAGAAATACAGTATAACAACTATTTACATTGTAAGTTAACAAGAGATATTTTAAATAGAGAGGAATAAAAGTATACAGGAAGAGGTGCACAGATTGTAGGCAAATACCATGCCATTTTTACATAAGAGACTTGAGCATCTGCAGAATCAGTGTCTGCAGGGGATCCTGGAGCCAATATTTCAAAGATACCAAGAGACAACTATATTTGAAAAATTCAAGAATGAGATCTGAAGGAATTTCATCAACAAGAAAAGTGTATGAGATCACTATGGATAAAAGTATCAGCAGACTTAATTACTTGTGTTGAGTTTGCATCATAAAGATAAAAGAAGAGAAGATGAGAGAGACAGAGAAGGCACACAAAAGCAGAGAATCATAAAATCATGGAAATTTGCCTCTTTAATATAATGCAAATCATCCAAATTTAGAGTTGGATCTTTATTTTTTCCTGCCTTGCTCCTTAAGACAGTATCAGACACATTCTAGAAGCCCAATAAGTTCACTTATTCCTGCAAAATAGGACTAGACTGGGGAACAAGGAGACTAGTTGTAGACTAAGAAACTGATTAAATGAAGATAGCAGAAGTAAGAACAAAAATAAGAAGCCAAATTTTATAGGTTTTTAGTGGTAAAAAATAATAATTTGATATTTAAATAGATGTGGAGAGTAAAATTGGGGAAAGAGTAAAGAATGACACACAGATTCTAGCTTCAGAGACTGAGTAAATATTAAATCATTAATCAAAATCAATAATGAAAATAGAGGRTATTGTTGGGGATGTCTGGAAATATAGAGTTTTGAATAGAAATTGTTGCATTTGATAAACAGGTAATATACCGGGAAAGATACATTAAGTAAGCATCTGGAAAAATAGATACTAAGCTCAAAAGAGAGCTCAAAGCAAARAAGTTCTAGAATCAAAAGTACAAGCTGAAAGATCAAGGAAATAAAGTGGTTAATGCAGTCAAAGCTAAGRGAGATATAAGATAATTATTCTAATAATACAATCATTAAGAAGTCTCCAAATTTTAAAAGGAGTCAGAAAATTTATGGACAATGGTAATAATTTTGATTTTTTGTATAATCTATATTTTAAGAATTTTTCTCCTGAGACATTCAGGTGAAGACGTCCAAGAAAAGCTTACAGAGAGAGATCTGCACCTTGGGGAATAAGTGGGATAGGGTGGAAGGGGATCAGGAATAGAAATCACCTGTATTTAGTGGAAGTGATATACTCACCAAGGAGACAGWATGCGATGGAGGTATTGAAGAGGGAATAGTTCTATTTTTCCTTCTAAAAATATTTGGAGGTGAATGAAAAAGTATGATAGTTTGGAAAAGAATAAAAAAAGAACATTGGAGCTTTAGATAATTTCTCAGCTTTTCATTTCCCAGTCTGTAAAACTATCTGTTTGGAACAGAATCTTTAGGATTCTAGCATTAACCAAGAATAGGGCATGATGACAGAAGACTTCTAGATGGCATCTCTGCCCTGCCTGTCATTAGCTGCATGGCCCTTGATGTACTATTAATTTAAAATTCTGAGGACCAGTTCCCTTATTTGAAAGTATAGTGGTACCTATGCCTATCTCACAGGGTGGGAGGTAGGAGTTGGAAGACAAAGAATCATACAGATAATTCTGATGAAATAATCTGCACAATGCTAGGTATACAGGAGGTATTCAGTGAAAGTTGGCATATATACCTAACTTACTTTGGGTTGTTGTAATGGTAGCCCTAGATATAGTGCACTAGGCAGGGTATAATGAGAATTGAAGAATATTTTCCTTAAAAAGTTAACTATGATTTTTAGAATAGACTATTAATTACTATTTTAAAAGACAATAATCAAGAGATTATTTTTAACCATCTAGAATGAGTCTAGGTATTATAGGCCTAGGGATATGGAATCCAAAACTATTTCTTGAATACATAAGGTAATAAAACTTTTTGTAGAGCTCTATTATTTATTTGTTATTAGTGAAAAGTATATGACATAATGCCTTAAATGTCACTTGATGGATGGCCTACCTTCATTGTGGACATAATGGCCTGCATGTGTTATAACCTAAAGCCTATAAACCTACAAAGATGGATAAGTTGAAACAGAAAATTTTAAGTTAAAATTAGCTTTTAAAATCTAAAATTAGAAATTAGGTAAAAATTAGACATTCCCTCCAAATCACTTTAGTTTCTGAAATTCAAACTAATATCATTCTGGGCCAGGGTTGTGGCTCAGTTGTAGAGCACTTGCCTAGMATGCATGAAGCAYTGGGTTCAATCCCCAGCACCACATAAAAATAAATAAATTAATAAACAAATATATAAAGGTAATAAAATAATAATATCATGATAAAGAAAATTAAAAATCAGAAAAGTCTAACTTRGGATGTTTCCTCATTATGAGACTGATTTATTCTTCTATTACCCAGAAGAATATAAAATTGCATTAATATCAAAATACCATAAAATAAAATATGAATCTTAAACCAGTTTTGGAAGGATGATGCATTTGTATCTAGTAAAGGTAAATCATGATACCAATAATGCTAAAAACAAGAGGCAGTTTGTTTAAGGAATACACTTGAAGTATAGTTCTTTCAAACTAYATCAAAATCAAGGATTATAATATATAATTTATCTATATAAATAAATATATTTTTAATTTATTTTTAYTTAAAAATATATTTTATATATAAATTTGAATATATAAATAAGTATATTCTAAGTAAAAATATATTTTAAGTAAAAATATATTTATGTATATGGATAAAATATATAAATTACAGAAATTGTATATTATAAATTATACATATAAAATGGGTTATAAATTATTATGAGTTATATRTAATATTATAAATTATATATATGCTATATATAGAGATATATAATTATCCTAAAAGAAATAAAATAAGGAAAATTTCAAGATCACATGGAAGAAAATCAAGTTTGCAAAGTTTTCAAGAGAAATTCTAACCATTTTTTTTAAATTTAATAACTTGTTCCAAGAAATCTAAGTGATCTTTATAAAAATCATTTGAATTTATAAGCTTGAGAAATTAAAAGCATCTTAGCTAACATATTCAAAGGGCAGGCCAACACCACTCTTGACTTACTCCTGTCCTCTGTTGTCAAACATGTCATATTATTACCATTAGCAGCTCAGCAGGCTACTCCTTAGAAGAACATGATTTCTTGTTCACAGGCTCTTGCCAAAGTCTCTAAAATACCTTCCAAAGAAATGTAGCATCTATGAATTTATTTCTTCAGGAATCCTACAATTGCTCTCCTCTTTAAATTATTTTAACTGTTATAATTTGGAAATTAGAAGTTACTATAATGAAACATGTTACATATTCATGTTTGGTATTTATACCCAAATTATATGAGTTTCATCATTGCTGTTCTTCCCTTGTGTGTTGGAAGAAATCCTCTTAAACACACACACACACACACACACACACACACACACACACACACACGAAAAACAAAACTAGCACATTGTTGCAGTTCTTGACTCCTGTTTGTGCTCCCCAAAATAGCATTAGCTAAAACTTGAATTTGTAGAGAAAAGGATGCATAGCTCATAGTAAGAAGAAATCATAACACAAGCAAGGAATTTTACAACTGACATCTGACTATGTAGACCACTGTCCCTGAATTAAATCAAGGTTGCCATAATATGTTAAAAACATATGGAGAATACTTTGACACCAGAGCTCCTATTTATTCACTGTATACTCAGAAAACATCTAATCCCTCTTGAAATTTTATAGTTATAAAACCAGTCTGAAAAATACAAAGTAAAATGTGTTTTTTAACTTAATCAAAGTCTTTTTAATATACAACTTATCACTATCCCAAATACAAAGTGAAAATGAAACACTTGCCTATTTTTCTAATATCAGGTTGTCTCTGAACCTTGAAGAAGTTACTGAACCTTGCTAAGCCTCCACTTCCTCTTTTCAAAATGGAAATRGTAGTAGTTACCTGCTAGAACAAAATGTGAAATATAGTCCACTGCCTATCACATAGAAAATACTTTAAATGTTAACTTCTATGATTTCTATAATTATATAATTGTATCACCTCATATTCTACAGTTGCTTTTGTACTTTTGAACCATGTATTCTCTTTTTTTAAAAGAGAAAGAGAGGGAGAGTGAGAGAGAGACAGAGAGAGAGAGAGAGAGATAATTTTTTATTATTTATTTTTTTTTAGTTTTCGGTGGACACAACATCTTTATTTGTATGTGATGCTGAGAATTGAACCCAGCGCATGCCAGGCGAGCGTGCTACCGCTTGAGCCACATCCCCAGCCCTGTACCATGTATTCTTAACTTTGCAGACTTGTGARAATAAAAATTAAATAAAATAATATATGTAAAGTTTTTATCATCAGTTGGTATATAATATAGCCAATGAGTATATTTKCTATAATCATTGCTGTTGAGACTCTACTATTTGGTTCCATGACATTGCAATTTTTTTCCT